GAGCCGTACTCTGTAGCAACCGCCTGCACCCGCCACCTTAGCTCTGATAGTAACGGCTGTGGCAGAGAGACAGAGGCGGTTACGCCTGATTTGACAGGACACCACTATATAAGGACTCCGACCCCCAAAGACAAGGGAGAGAGAATGAAAAAATGGAGGTAATCCTTGCTCTCTAGCTCTCTCATTTCTCTCCAAGCTCCCTACAATCAGAATGCTAACTTAGGCATCGGAGAGTCCCCGTCGGGAAAATACCTCCGGGTCCTCTGATTCAGTTCTCGCAGGTCCCTCAGCTCCCGCCACCGGCAAAGGAGAGGAGATCACCTCATGCAAAGGGAAGCCAAGTAGCTCTCCACCAGGGAGCTCGTCACCAGGTAGCTCTCCACCAAGGAGCTCATCACCAGGTAGCTCATCACCAAGTAGCTCACCACCAAGAAACTCGTCACCAGGTAGCTCTCCACTAGGGAGCTCGTCACTAGGTAGCTCACCACCAGGGAGTTCACCACCAAGTAGCTCATCACGAAGCAGTTCGCCACCAGGAAGCTCCATCGTCCTCTGAGTCACAGGCCACCTGGGAACAGGTCAAATGACGAGGTACTTAGCCAAAAAGTTGGTACATCACAAAAAAAATTGGTACATGACCATAAATGGTTACATCAATATGAATGATTGAATTGCTTAGTGATAACTTGGATAAAGAATGACTTTGATTTTTAGTAAGTTTTTACATACATGGATTTATATTGTTAAAACTATTGGACATGTATCTCATTAGTAGCATTTATTAGTGAAAAAATAACTTAGATATAGGATTTAATAAGAGAAAATGGGGGTTAATACCTTAAATATAAGACTTAACGAGAGGGGATTAAATGAGGTGAAAATCATTAATTAAAATTATATTTTCAACCCTCATAATTAGAGGTGGATTAAATAGACAAATATGGACATTTATTCAATAATAGCTTCACACCCTCATTTGTATTTTTTGTTAAGTTATAACATATAACATATCTGGGTATTGCGGCTAGACGATTAATTAACTTATCAATTTCCGTCCCAAATATCTAGATGGTTAGCATTTTGCAAGAATGTGCATGTATTTAATACAATATCTATACTACTTTAAAAAGCACAAATAGCTTCAAGAATATTTATGGAATTTTCTAATGACAAAATGTATCCCTCTTTATTTAAATTTATTGATAAAAAATGAGAGCAAATAGAGTAATCAGTTTTTTATATTAAATGGGTTGAAAAGTAATTTAAAGATATTCAATGCATTCAATTCTCTTTCACTAAATCCAACATTTAAGTTATTAACTTGCATTCATCTTCGTTGAATCATATATTTAATTCATTTTTGTTTCTTTTCATCATTAAGTTCTATTAATTAAAGACATACTTAATAAATTAATAATTTCAATAACATAAAATCTTATACTTTTAAAATCTACCTAGCAAAAATAGTGTTTTCATTTAGGTTGTGGTAAGAAATTAAATCATTTTGGGTCAAATGAGTTAATTCATGTTGCCACGATTAAATAATAAAATTAAAAAATAGATAAAATAAAAAAGTAGAAATTAATAAAATTGGGAACATTTTTATGTACATATTAAACAATAATAAGTACGATAAATAAGAAATGTTTTTATTAATGATGGAAATGGAATGTAAAATTTAAAACCAATTGAAAATAAAATTATTTTCTTATTCTCTCAAATTAAATCCTATATTTAAGATATATTTTTCTCATTATTAATTTTTTGTAATTAAATCCATAATATTGATTTTAATAGTATAAAAATAAATATTTTGAAAACAAAACCATTTTCTTCCCTTCTGGTGGTGGGTAAGCAATTCAACCATTTGGAGTCAAATGGATTAATAAATAATGTCATAATTAAATAATAAAAATTAAAATAAATAACTATGAAATGTACATGTATTTTTATTAATGATGAAAATGGAATGCCAAATTCAAAATCTATCTAGAAATTAAATAATGTCATAGTCAAATAATATAATTTTTAATAATAGAAAATACAAAGAATCACAAAAAAAAGATAATGGAAAATTTGGGCACATATCTAATGTTATATATTTATAAAAACTAAAATATTGGGTACATCTATAATATTGTGCATTCATTATATTGAACAAAAATAAGTTTTATACATAAAAATTAATTTTATCAATGATGGAAAGGTAATACAAAATTTATTGTTAACCTAAAAATCAAACAATTTTTATTTTTACATGGTGGATTAGTGGTTTGAGTGAAATGATACCATAGACAAACAAAAATAAAGTGTGATAAGTAAAAAAATATTTTATATAATTTAAAGGGAAAATTATAGTCAAAGTCGGTTGTACATTTAAAATTAGGTTGCAGGTTGGTCTAGAAACCAACAAACCTCTGACAACCGACTCTACATTTCAATTTATAAAAACCCTCGCCATATCATCAGAGGCTTATATGGTTGTTGCCAATATGGAACTTTTAGTCCATGTTGGACACAACAAAAAAATCTATACCAAAAATAGGTTTTCAATTTATCTCCCACTCCATCTGTCTCTCGATTTCCCTCCCTTCTCTCTAACTCTCATAGTCATCTCTCGATCTCCCGCTCCCTTTGTCTCTCCCACTCTCTCAGCTTTAATTTGTAGCCCAATCAAAACCTCTCTCTCTCTCTCTCTCTATCTATCTATCTATCTATCTATCTATCTATATATATATATATATATATATATATATATATTGTTCTCCCTCAATCTATATCATTATTATCCCTCTCGATTAATATCTCCTTATCCCTCAATCTCTATCATTCTCCAATTGGTGTAAATTTCATAGTCAAGAGATTCTTGTAAATTTGTATTAAATTGGAGCAATAATTTTTGAACCATACCAAGTTGATCTCATGTTCTTTTTTACGATATGATTAATACCATATAAGTGTGTAAGAAAATAAAAAAAAAATGAGAGATGGAGCGGGAGAGAAATTAAGGGAGAATGAGAGAGATTGAGGGAAAACGATAAGTGGAGAGAGAAAGAACGAGAGAATTTGATATAGAGAGTGTAAGTACAAAACCAAAAACATTTTTATTTATTTTCAAATCATATAATCATTGAGCATATAAAGATGACTGTGAGTGAGAGAGTGTGTATGTGTGAGAGAGAGAAAGAAAGGGAGAGAGAGACTAAAAACCTTTTTTTTTTTCCAATCACCTAATATTAAAGTGAAATTTCAATATAAGCTTTTTTGTTGTGTCCAACATGGATTAAGAGTCTCATGTTGGCAATAACCACATAAGCCTCTAATGACATAGTAATGGTTTTTATAATTTGAAATGTAAATCTAGTTGTCAGAGCTTTGTTGGTTTATGGACCAACTTGTAGCCTAATTTTAAATGTACAACCAGCTTCCACTACATTTTTCCCTAATTTAAAATTAATCCAAGAGCAAAACTATTTTCTTATCTAGATGGTAGGTCAGTGATCCAACCTTTCAAAGAAATCCATGATGTCATAATCGAGTAATAAATATTTAAGTTTATTTTTAATCATATTGTTACTTTTGTTAATTTTCAATTTCTATCTTAACTAAGATATATCTAAAATTCAAGTAATTAATATGAAAAAAAATTCTCACATGCAAAGCATATATTTAATTACTAGTATACAATAAATATGCATATTTAACCACAAGTAACAAGGTGGGTTAATGGTAATAGGCTAGTTTGATTAACTAAAATGTCATGCGCTTGAATTTCACTATTGATCTTTTAAGTTTCCAAGCATTTTATTGACCCAAGTGGGTCGTTGAAACCAATAGGATTGGATCATCAAAACCTGGTTGGTTCTTAACAATTTTGCCAGGTTTTGACTAGTTCTACCAATGTTTTAGAAATTTGAAAGTCATGGTTTAAGAAAAGCGGAATGGCCCTTGGCTCCTAGATATAACGGCCCGACGATTGAATCCAATCTAGGTCTTAAAACATTGGTTGTGGTATAGAAAAAATAATTTAATTTGGAAATATTAAAAAAATTTATAATTTTATTTTTTTTGCTCTTTAATTTACATGAAGAGTTTCATATGTGAAAAAAAATATTTTTCCCTATGTAAAGCACATAAAAAATTATATTAAATACAAATTTCGTCCTCATCCTATGGTCCTCACACTTGCCTCATAATACTTGCAGCTATGGGTTGTACTCGTTGTGGTTCAATTTAATTAAGAATGTTACATTGCTCTTAGGGTGAAACTTGGGGGTTGGGTCAAGTTGAGGATCAACCAAAGCCCAATTCAAAGTCTTAAACATCAAGCTCGGGTTTAGATTATTATGACTACAATCTAATTTTATATATTTATTAATATTTAAGTATTTTAAATATTTAAATAATATCTACAAAAAGTTATAACATTTAATCATTAATAACCTAAATAAATTAAATAGAACACTATCACATAATATAGAAAAAATAATTATTTTACTAAGTAATTAAAAATAATTTATTATTTTTGTTAAGAGTTATTAATATAAATAATCTAAATTATTAAAATACTAAATTATTTCTATAAAAATATTATTAAAATAATAATTAATTATTTAAATAACATTGCATTCCTCTCTTATAATAATTTTATTCTTACAAATTGCGTAAATCATACGGATCCCCATTAATATGTGGTTGGGACGGAGACCGGATATGCTCCTCACATAAGGCGCCTCACACGCGCCTCACGCATATCCTACCATACATTGAGAACATCTCTTATACTTATAAGTTATTATTCACGGGAGATGTTCTCAATGCACGGTAGATGTGTTTGTGAGGCGCCCCTTTGTGAGAAGCAGATCCCATTCTGTTGGGACGTGCTGTGACTGTGAGTTTTTTTTTTGGTGAGAAGACTCTGTGAGGTTAGTCTAAAGGAGATCCGGATTCAAATATGTAAGGAAATCCGATTCCCACATCATATAATTCAAAAATGGGGCCAATTCATCTAATTCCAGGCCTTGATTTCACGCGGATGGAGAGGCGAGAGGGAGAGAGAGGCCTATAAAACGGTCAGTCCCTCTCTCGTTAGGAAATTTTTCACTATCGGAAAAATGCCGTTGCTTGTTGACCGACGCCAAGCAGTAATTATTTCGAAATCCCCCTCGCCTTCTCCTTTTCCCCCCCAATTAGGGTTTCAACCACCACCGCCAACTATCGACGCCTGCAATACTGCAAACCCTCTGCAATTCAGAAATTCGCATCATCGTTATTTATATAGAGTTGGAGACATCTTTAACTCGTAGATTTGTTTTCGTAATTCTGTGGATTTAATTGACGCGCTCTTCGTCCTCTGTATTTATTATTTTATGTGAGAGAATTTCCGCGATGAGAATTCGGCATTTTTTGAAGAGATGAAGCCCTCGAAGAAAAAGCCGCGAGTTCGCAAGGGCGGCAACAGAGAAGTGCGCGTCAATGGAGAAGTCGCAGGAGATGACCAGAAGGAGGATCGAAGAGTTATGGACCAGTTGGTCGAGGCGTTCTCTTCTGCTTCTCTAGAAGAAGCTACTTGGGCTTATCGAGAGGCCAACGGGGACGCGAATAAGGCCGCAGAGATTCTAGGAGGTTTGCTAGAGAACGGAAATGTTTCCCCCATGAGTTCTAGTTCTTCCAGTGGTACTGGGAAGCCCGTTTTTGCGAAAGCTTGCAGAGGAAGGAAGCAAAAGAAAGTTGTTGCGTCTGCAGGCACGATTTCGAGTGTTTTGGGAAAGGAATATGTGATGTCCAGTCCGAGGAGAAATTCGCACATTTCTAAAGGGATTAATAACAACCCTATAAGTAATGAAGAAGCCGAGCAATTCCTGTACTCGATGCTTGGAGATGATTGCGAGATGAGCATGGATGTGGTGAGAGATGTTCTATGTAAGTGCCACATGATATTCTCTCAACTTTGTTTTCTTTCATATTTATGTTTGTCGTAATTTTGAAATGTCTGTTAAGATTTTTGTTAACCACGACTCTCAACATCTTGAGCACGGCAGCTATTAATTACGAATTCACAGTAAAAATCAAACTAAAGGAAGTATATAATGCTGGCATAGAACATAAAATGAAATGATGACTAGATATTAGCATCAGTGTTTTAAAAGCGCAAGTTGCAAGGCGAGGCATGTGCCTTTTTGAAGCAAGGCCCAAAATTATAAAAAAATGCTAAAAAATAAAAAATGTCAGAAAATCCAAAAAAGAAGCCAAAAAATATTAAACATAATATTAATAAAAATATAAACTTAAATTTTAAAATAATGTTTTAAAAAACCTATTATCTAAAATTAAAATAAATAAACATAAGATGTAAAGCATATTCAAACGAAAACTTAAAAATAAGACCAAAATATAAAACATTTTCAAGCATTTAAAACCTATAATCTCTTTTTTCACTCAATTGCATTACTTCACGTAGCTAATGTAATGTAAAACATATTACATTCCTGATTCTACGAGCCGCCTTTTTGCCATGCCCCTCGAGGCAATCCCAAACAAATGCACGTTAGGTCTTAAATTCTTAGTTTTCACACAAAAAATAATGATTTTATTGTTTTAATTGCTTTTTAACAAGACATTTTATTAGGATGAATGAATGAACAACATTACCAAATTGAGGGTTCTCGGAGCATGGAACGGGGGTCCGGCGGCGGAGCCCCCAGCCCAGCCGCTATGTTCAAAAAAGCGTCAAATTTTCAAAAGGCGCATGCCTGGGCTGAGGCGCAAGGCGCAGCGCCTTTTGAAAGGGCTGCGCCTAGGACCTAGGCGAGGCACATACCCTGAAATGCGCCTAGCATGTCTGCAGTGGTCCTATGATGATGAAAAGTCAGCAATTCCATGCTCTTGCTTCTTAACATTAGGTTTCTAGAGCCATCTTTGATTCCTCCTTCTCTTTGTAAAAATTAGAAGAAAAAGGAAGCTGAAACATTTTCACTACAAGTCTACAGAACCAATGAAACAAGGCTTAATCAGCTATTCATCATATTTGTTTTCCCGATTCTTACCACAAATTCACATTTGTCACCACCCGGAAGTAACTTGAGATGCCATGGCTTAATGTTTGAACTTATGATGCCTATATACAGATATCAACATGAACATGGTTATATGAATTGAGATTGCAACTCTCCATTTCCTAAAATCCCAAACATGGCTATGGGTATGTGTATCCCATGCTTTTATATCTAGTTTTTGAAACTAAATGTCATTTCTCAAGATCTGTTTCTTGCTAGATTAAATTAAATTCCTAACATGTGCAGATTTGTTATAATATGATTGTCACATCATTTTACATATTCTAAAAGTGTTAATTCTATAGATTATTCAGTGTTGTATCAGGTACATATCGGGTTTGGCATTGGTATGCTAGGCATATATAGGTATTGGGGTATCATAGGTCTGAACTAGTTTCTTTATCAAAAATCTTTATACTGGAATTCTTGAAATTAATTAACTAATTTGGTTTTATAATGCCTATTTTAATTTGTAATCTCAAAAAATAAAGAATATAAAATATTTCATAGTGCCATATACAGAATACTTGGGCACTTAGCAACCCTCCATGAGCGCCTTCTTGCCTAGACATTGCATTGACAACTGTGTGATTATATACTAGTGGAAGAGACTTCAATATAATACAATATATATATATATATATAATATTATATTATATACTAGAGAGGGATTTTATTAATTCCGGTAACTTTCTATTAATTGACACATTTTTTTTTTCTGAAAAAACAACAAAATTTTCTTAAATGTGTATATGATGTTTTTCCATACCAAACATGTTTAACAAGTTAAAGATTTTATCTCATTTGTTTTCATTTTTTTGATAGGTAATTTTTCATTTTATTCATTTATGCAAAAAATGTTGTTTATACAAAGGGATTGCACCAAGCACCCCACATTGTAGCAGTATCCTCTCCTTTTACATTACCTTTACAAGTGTGACAACCCCTTTCCTTGATTTATGTTTCTCCAAAAAACAGCCGGTTTCTTTCCACTCCTTGTCTGGCCATTGCATTTGCCACATTGTTTGCTAATCCCTTATCCACTTGGCCGATGCTCTTAACTCCCTCATTAGGCTTCTTATCACTTTCAATATATATCTATATTTCCATGCTCCTGAATCATTAATTTTGATCCACTCTATTATGAATCTGGAGTCTCCTTCCACTATTATGTTTTTGTAGTTTTCAGCTTTCCTCAACCTATAACCTTGAAGTACTGCCAATAGTTCAGCCTTAATTGAGCCTTTGTTACAGATTTGATATGCACTGGTTTCAGTCCTAGAATGAGAAAGAAGAAGAATAGAGAGAGAGAGATGAGAGAGAAAACCCTTGGTTCGAAGTAGAGGGAAAAAGTCAGAGAGCGAGAGAGAAGAGAAGAAGAGTTGGGAGAGAAAACCCTTGGTTCAAACTAAAAGAGAAAAGTCACTCTCTCTAATTGGACAGGTTGTATTTATATGAACGCTTAAAGTGAAACATAAAAGACATTACACTATCCACTTAAAGTAAGACAAAATGACCAAATTACCTTTTTTAACAGCCGACTCTAATCTTCACACTTGTTAAAATCAAGGAATGCATATTGACAAGGACTATTTCATGGTTAAAATCTTTACACTTGTTGGTAAATTACTCCTTTGATGACTTAAGGAGAAATTGGGTTGCAGTGGCTACTACAGTTTCCACCAAGATCAAATCACAAGCTGAATGGATTCCCCCACCGGATGGTGTGGTAAATTTGAATTTTGATGGAAGCTGCCAAGGTAACCCAAGGCCATCGGGAATTGGTGGGATTCTGAGAGACAAAGATAGCAATATGTTGTCTCTATTTTCAGGACCAGTGGGTGAAGGTGATTCAATAAGGGCAGAGCTACTAGCAGCGGTACAAGGTATACAAATGGCTAGTCAAAGTGGAGTGACAAATCTGCTAGTAGAAGGGGATTCCAAGGTGGTAGTAGGCTGGCTAATTAGCCCCAAAACAGCTTGTTGGGGCTACAGGGATCTGTTAAAGAAAGTTAAATGGATGACAAGGAATATGACTGTTAGGTTTCAGTGGGTTAGAAGATCAGCAAATGCAATGGCTGATTCTCTGGCCAAGCAGGGGGTGTCAAGGGGAGATCTATTTTGGGCTACTTTGTAATTGTGTCTCAGGCTTGGGTAGTTTTGGTGTATATGGTTCAGTCCTAGGGGGGTAACATCTCGTGCCTCCTCCTAGGCTGATTGTATTGTTGTTGTTTGATTTAATAAAATTACTCTCATTTATCAAAAAAAAAAAAACAGCCGACTTTAACGCTCCCCCTTGAATTGGTGAGTATATGTCATATATAGTCCCAGCTTGTTACATATGTAACCCACACTTCCCCAACTCAACCCTTTGGTGAACAAATTTGTCCATTGACTTATTGTGTTTACATGTGCAGAGCGCCTTTTCTTTCACAAAGTAACAATCAACTTATATATGTTTTGTTCTCTCATGGACAAATGGATTAGAGGAAATGTGGATTGCAACTTGGTTGTCACAATACAATTTCATAGAGCTATCAATTGAGTACCCCATCTCCTGTAAAAGGTTTTTCAACCATACTAGTTCACATGTAGTGTGTGCCATGATTCTATATTCAGTTTCAACACTACTTCTTGCCACCACAGTCTACTTCTTGTTCTTCCATATTACCAAATTCCCCCCAAGAAAGGTACCCCTGTAGTGGACCTTCTGTCAGATATTGAACCAACCCAATCAACATTTGTGTAGCTCTCTAACTCAAGACTTCCTCCGGTCTTGTATAGAAAGCCACAACCTGGAGCTTCCTTCAAATATTGCACAATTCTTAGCATTGCATCCCAATGTGGAACCTGAGGATTCTGTATAAACTGGCTTACCACTAACGGCAAATGATATGTCTAGTCGAGTAATGGTCAAATAATTTAACTTGCCCATTAATCTCCAGTACCTTCTAGGATCTTCCAATCCCTCACTTGTATCACTACTCAACTTAACATTTGGCTCCATAGGTGTTTTAGCTAGTTTGGCACTCAATAATCTTGTCTCCTTTTTTTGGATCAATACAATTTTGTTTCCTTTAACAAGTCAAGAACACAATTTTGGTAAGTACTTAACAGTGTATACCCACTTACAATTGTAACCTATTGCAACCAATTTAGCCTTTAACCGCTTCGCACTACCATCTGGTAAGTACTTAACATGTATACCCACTTTCAACCCACACATGCCTGCCAAGAGGAAGAGTGGTGAAATCCCATGTGTGATTATGAGCTAGAGCAGAAAGTTCTTCCATTGCTTGCCACCATCCTGGAGAGGTAAGAGCTTCCTGGACATTCTTAGGAACATACACAAGATAAAAGAGACAATCTGGCAATGGGAGGCAGAAAGATGAGAAATAGAAACATAATTAGAAATAGGATGAAGAGTGCAACTATGTTTACCTTTCTGCAAGGCAATAGGAAGGTCAAGGTTAAGGGGTGGGACTAGTGTGGAAACAACTGCCGGATCTGTCAACGGAGAAGAATTTGGAGCAAGAGCCGATACATGTTGATGTATACACTTGCCTGATTGGTGGTCGTTCAATAGGAAATTACACTAGAGGTGACGACTTAGTTACAATTGGAACAAGAGGAATGAGGTCATCAATTGGAACAGGAAATGGAAGACTTGGAGGTGTAGAAGGAGGAGAGACATCAGATTCAATAGAAAAATGACAAACTCAAAGAAAGTAACGTTTGGAGAAACAAATGAACGTTGAGAATTGGGATTATAGCATTTGTACCCTTTCTAGGTCCTAGAATAGCCAAGAAAAACACACTTAGTAGTTCATGCATCTAATTTGTCCATCCCAGGCCCAAGGTTATGAACATAACACACAACCAAGACTCTAGATGTAAGAAGAACATCACTCCAAAAATGCTTGGGTACATTCATGTGGTGCAAAAGGGATTGAGCAGTCTCCAAAAGATGGCGGTTTTTTTTCTCAACCACTTCATTTTGTTAAGGAAGTACATGAAGTTTGATGTATAATGCCATGTTGTTCCAAATATTGCCGAAAAGGTGTATAGAAGTATTTTCGGCCATTATCAAAGCGAAGATTTTTTATATGTACACCAAATTGAGTGCGAATTTTAGCATGAATTTTTTGAAAAATTGAAAATAATTCACCCCTTTCATAAGAAAGTCATGCAATCCTTAAAGAATCATTAACAAAAATTACAAAATACTTGTAACCATTGTACGACACAATTTTATTTGGACCCCAAATTTTTGAATGGACCAAAGAAAAGGACATGGCATACGACTATCAACTCTAGGACTAAAGGGAACACGATGGTGTTTTTTGTACTAACACAACTCACATTCCAAAGTAGAAAGGCAACTCAATGACGGAACAAGTAATTAAGTGCTTTGAGAGATAGATAACCAAGCCTGTAGTGCCATTGGGGGGGGGGGGAGAAAGAGACAAATGAAGAGCTAAAGATGAACCAACACCATCATGATAATACAACCCACTGGCTTCATGCCCTCCACCAATCTTCATCCCTATCTTGAGATCTTCAAAAACACAAGAAGAGTGGTAAAAATGTACTACAACAATTAAGAGACTTGGTCAATTTACTAACAGACATAAGGTTAAAAGGGAATTTGGGAACATACAAAATTGAAGACAGATAATGAATCAATGTTAACATTACCAACACCACAAATAGAAGATGTAGAGCCATTAACAAGAGTATATGATCAAAAGCTTCAAAGGTATGATCAGAAGCTCCAAAGTCGGTAATCCTATTGGAGGGTTTAGATGCCAGACAAGCCATACTTAAGTGGGCAAGGGTAGTAGTATTCTGCTATGAGGTAGCCTAGAGTAACCACTCATATTCATCACATGGAACACTCATCATTTCTTTCCTAGAGGCATCTGTAGATGTAGAAGGTGTTTGATTAGCATACTGAATTTCATCTCTTGTATCGCCACCACTTGTCACTGCATGATCCGACCTTGTAGATCATAACAAAAGTTAGTGTGCCCCTCCATTCCACAATAAGTACACTTATTGGGCCATTAATATGTCCTCTATAATGACCTCCCCTTGAATCTTGACCTCCATTGCGCCCACCACCACGATTAAACATGGGACCACTACCACCATCACGACCTAGCTGAGCTCCCTGGCTTCCTCCTCTACCTCCACGACTCTCCCTTTTGTCACTGCAAAGGCAGACCTATCAAATATAGTAGAGTTCCTTGAGGGTCCAATAGAAATCCTACGGAGATGGGTAAACACCTCCTCAAGAGATGGAAGGGTAGAGCCACCTAAATTGTGCTCTCACCCACTCATATTCAGTCTTCAATCCCACTAAGAATCTGGTTACATCAAGTTGTTCTCTCTGTTGTTGTGGAATTTTGACATCATATGTAAGGGGATGATAAACCTTCAACTCATTTCGAAGGTTCCTCATGGTAGCATAATACTCTTCAAGACTTTGTTTTCCTTGCTACAGATTAAAGTACTCTTGGTAGAGCTGGTATACTCTGGTTATACTCTGGTAGTATTGTCTTGTCCAGAGTAAAGCTTCTTTGCATGATCCCAAATCTCCTTGATTGTATCTAAGAACATAAAGTTCACACTAATTTTGGGTTTCATGCTATTCTACAACCATGCCATAATCTTTGCATCTTCTTGTTCCCACGTACTGTACCCTTGAGAATCAACTGGGGGGTTTTTCTTTTTTCACATGCTTTACCTTCTTCTTAGCGTTAAGGAAGACTTCTACCAAGTTAGCCCAAGGTACATGGTTCTCACCATTCAGTTTAATAGAAGTCATGTACACATTCAAGTAAGTTGGGGGAATCATAACACTAGATTTGTCTTCACTTCTGTCTCCCGTAGCTGCCATTAGGTTTTAAATAAGAACTTTCCACTCACTAATATATCACATCACCCTACTTGCTAGCCACCACACACTTCACCACTAATGGCTGATTATTGCTGAAAACATCTGCTTTCACAGTTTTCAACAATAATAGTCAATGCTGTCACACACTTTCAGCACCACAAAAACACCCAGATACACCTCAAACACATACCACCAGGTCGGCAATCAATCTATGTTTGTTCTCCACTGTAACACCCATACAAGCCAGCTATCTATACCATACAAATCACCTATGCACTAATCTGTCCACTAAATAGCCCTCAAACACATACCACCAGGTCGGCAATCAATCTATTTTTGTTCACTGTAACACCCGTACAAGCCAGCTATCTATACCATACAAATCACCTATGCACTAATCTGTCCACTAAATAGCCCTCCTCAATCCATCAATTAGAGGGTTTGTACCAACCACCTGAAACAGCCAATTCAGCACTAACAGGAGGCATGAAAACCTCCAAAAGGGAAAAACGACCACTCCTTTCTGGTGCCTCTTTGATTCTCCAAGGGATCAATGAGATCTCTGCAGAAGAATAGGGTAGGAGGCGATGAAGAAATCTGGGTTGATCTTCTGGACTGATTACCAACACTCTGATACCATGTTACAGATTCAATCTGTACTGGTTTCAGTCCTAGAATGAGAAAGAAGGAGAATAGAGAGAGAGAGAGAGAGAGTTGGGAGAGAAAACCCTTGATTCGAACTAGAGAGAAAAGTCACTCTCTAGTTGGCCAGATTGTATTTATATGTTTATACTGTGTTACAAAGACAGTTACACCCCTAATTAAGTATGGTGCACAAAACTTAAAATGAAATATAAAAGACATTACACTACACACGTAAAGTAAGACAAAATGACCAAACTACCCTTTTTAGTAGCCGACTCTACACTCCCTTTACCCTATAGGTCCTGAGTAGAGTGCTATTGGTTTCTAAAAACTTCACCAATCCCTGATTCTCCTGTGTTTCCCTGCATCCATCAAAATTTAGTTTGATTTGGTTCACATCTGGCAGTTTCTGATTAGTCTCAATGTCTTCAATTGGTGTATTATTCTGATCATGATAATCTCTATCATCACTTCCTTAGAATGCTCTTCTTCCTTTAATCTTCTAGCATTCCATTCTTCTCACACTATCCTTAAGACTGCTGTACTTGTGCATCTCCATGGTACTTTCCCTCTTCTCTTTGAAGGAGAGAGGAAATTATCATATAACACAGTCTTTGCACCTCATTTGGTAGGGCCCACATGCAACTAAATAGAGAGAAGAAAACCTCCCAAATACCAGACACCAAGGGCAGGAGATTAGTAAATGATAAGTAGTCTCACTGTTTGCATTGCACACAAAGAGCACCAATGAGGTGAAAGGTACCAGTTGTGTCTTTTCTTTTGGATTGCCTTGCAGGTATTGGCTTTCATACAAAAAACCTCCCAACAAAAAGTCGTTATTTTATGTGCAACAGTCCCTTACACACTGCCTTCATAAGAAAGACCAAGGATGACTGCGGGAAAATATATAATAAAACATGGAAGAGTGAAGAGCAAGAATGGAAACCTTGAGGATTCAGGATTGAAATTCTTTTATCCTCTTTAGTGGGATCAAAGAAGACTTTTTCTACACAACTTAGAATCTCAAAGACACTAGGCAGTTCACAATCCCTTATCCCTCTTCTGAAACCAAGGTTCCAGTTAGCCCCATGGTTGGCAACAGACACACATTGGCTGATGGTTTTGTTTTTATGGTGATAGAGGCAGAAAAGATTGGAAAATCTATTTATCAAAGGAGTGTCACCTACCAAAGATCCTCCTATTAGTGAGGAAGAGCCGGTAAACCATCTGTTCATGCATTGCAGGTTTAGTGCTTCTGTTTGGCTTCATTTTATCAGGACACTAAGTTTGCAGCGGTGCTTCCTGTCCTTGGTTAAAGCACTCTTACAAGAATGGAGAGTCCCGGGTATGTCTAAGAAAGGGAAAGTTTGCTGGTCAACAATTCCACCCTTGATTATGTGGGCCATTTGGTATGAGAGGAACAATAGTTTGATAAAAAATCAACATCTCAAGCAGAGGTGATAAATTTAGTAGTAGAGGAACATAAATCGGTTCTCTATACACGTATTCATATTTTTCCTTCTTTTTTGAGGGTGGACTTTTTTTGGAGGTCCCTGAATGGATTATACATGTACAGCATCTCATTGTACAGAGGACCTTTTTTTGGTACCAATTACAATAATACCATTCTCAAAAAGAAAAAAAGATACTCCCATAATCTCCTTTCTTTTTTTTTTATTTTTAAATTTTAATTACTTTATATTTTCTTTGCAAGCAAATAAATCCTAATATCCTTTTGTTTGTTAAAAAATCCAAGATCTGTGAACCTCCAAGTCTCATCTCAAAGAACATGTTCCTTATCCCATTCCTCTAATGGTAATGCTCACAGCTCCCCTCCCTCCCA